TCTCTCTCTCTCTCTCTCTCTCTCTCTCTCTCTCTCTCTCTCTCTCTGTTACCATATAACCAGGCCTTTTATGATCATTAAGCGAACATGGTGGTTAAGCACTGTTCACTATTAGGGTGATTTTGCTGGAAAAAGGAAGCAAACCCCAGTTTCTGGCAAAAACATCCAAAATTGTGGTTGTGTGACTGCAGGATGCTGCAAATATAGCTATAAAAGCAAGTGATTGTAAGATTGAGGATTATCTGCATTGCTACTTCTGCCACCTGGTAGATATAAGGGAACTTATCTTGGATTACTAGCCAGAACCGGAAAAGGTACCTACAAACAGGTTTTTTTTATGCGTACGGGGGAAAAAAAACAGAAAATAATTGAACATTCATATACCAATCCTATGAGTTTTGCTTATTTAAAATTAAATGACATCTAATTTAGCTTTGTCCTGGCCCAATAACTTTTTGATCCTCATCTCACTTAAGCCAAACCCAAGTTAAACATAACGATTGAGCAAGAGAGGTGAACCAGATACCATGCAGCAAGAACCACCGTCCCAAAACCCAAGTACATTTGTGATGGAATGTGGTGGACTCCGAGGAGGGAGGGGGTGCATGCCAGAGGAGTAAGAGGCAGCTCAGCCCAGATATGATCTGCGAGAGAAAGAGAGTGAAGGCAGCCCCTCCCTAATAGTACACAGATTATATGTTGTAAAAAGGGAGTTCGTGCAGATGCAAACAGAACAGTGAGCAACAAAAGATGATTAGAGGGCTGGAGGCTAAAACATATGAAGAACGGTTGCAGGAATAGGGCATGTCTAGCTTAATGAAAAAGAACTGTTGGAAGAAATATTCTTCTGGGTTCAGTTCCAAGTGGGGAAAAAAGACACTGGAAACATGGAGGCTGTTAGGAAAGATGATTTATTAATGGACAGGATCACATGCCTTGGAGCTCCTGAGCGAAAAAGGGCAGAGATGCTTAGAGTGTCTGGGTTTTATGCCCTCTGTTGGGGTTTGAATTTGAGCTTGTATTGATTGGTTGTCAGACTCCCATGAGGCCATGCAGGGGCAACTCTGTAGGCTGTCCCGAGTCCCAGGCTTGGTTGAGCCTTGCTGGATGTTGATGTAATGAAAAGGCGTTGGGCAATTCCTATTATGGCTCTACCTGGAGTAGATCTTTGTTATGTAGAATAGACTTAATGGCCCATTGAACAAAGGTTGGTGGGGGGCTGAGTTTCTGCCTTTCTGAGTTTCTACTTCTCTTAGGGGAAATAGTCTGCCTTTTTAGTATATCTTAAAATAATTTCGTTTTTCTAGGAGAGGGTGTGTTTTAACTTCCAACAGAAGGACTAAAAGTGACACGATGACAGCGTTCCAATGTTTGAGGCCTGCCACAAAGAAGGTGGGGAGGGGTCAACCTATTCTCCAGTCCAAAGCACATGAGGGCAGGACAAGAAACAAGGGATGGAAACTAATCAAGAAGAGAAGCAACCTTGAAGAAAAAGAAACTTCCAAACAGTGGAACAGCTTGCCTTCAGAAGTTGTAGGCACTCCATCACTGGAGGTTTTTAAGAAGAGACTGGACAACCACTTGTCTGGAATGGTATACACTCTCCTGCCTGAGCAGGAGGTTGGGCTAGAAGACCTCCAAGGTCCCTTCCAATTTGGTTATTCAGTGCTTATTCTGGCAAAATTCTGTCTACAGACACAAAACTTTAAAAAGAACTCAGCTTGGAAGAATCACCACACATCACTCTCGGTTTGGGGTCTTTCTCCCAAGAGCTCAAAATATGATCAGGATGTGTTTATAGGCAGAGCGAAAGATTGCCCCCTAAGTCATCCCAACAGTTTGCATGACTGAGGCCTGATTCAAACATCGGCACTCTGTCACTCAGCCCCTGAATCCCAACACCGTACAAAATGCAGATTTTGCACATGCTGATCAACATTAAGCGGCATGACTAAATGAATGGAGAGACCGCTCAACCCTGAACATATAGATGCAAACAAACAAAACATTTGCAGCAATTATTTGTGCTGAATCAAATGGATGTACAACCTCTTTGCATGCTATTATTTAACAAATCGATTTCCATAGCAAAATATTTTTCCTTTCTTTTCTTTTTTCTTTCTTACGCCTCTCATCTCCCCCTACAAGGTGACTCTGGTAACTTTTTGCGTTGATTCTAGTCAGTAAGAAACATCCTTCATTTTGGTCAGGCAAGCTTAAAAGCATCCATTTTCATTTTTTTCCCAAAGGAGGAAGCATCTCCCACTCATCCCCCATTCAATTTCTGGAGCTCACAGAGGGAAGCAAATTCACCTCTAAACGCAACAGTCAAGATTGCATCCCGGAGTTCTTGCTCAATGGATTAGATCCATGGACTTGTATCCTATGCTGGCCAAGTTTTAACTGCAATTGCATCTACACGCAGACAAGACACTGTAGAAGAACAATGCTGTGAAATATTGCTTGCTCTACAGACTGACCCATTCTCAATATGTATTTTCCTGTTTGCTAAAGGTTGAACCATTATGAATGCTGCAACTGAGCAAAACTTACTTTTTCCTCTCCTCTGGCATGTCCTTGTGGAGGTAGGGGGAAAGAGAGACTAAATACAGTTACTCCTCGATTTACTTGCAACCACTTTTGTTTAACAACTGTTCAAAGTTAAAACAGCATTGAAAAAATTAACTTCTGTACCACTTTATAAAGCCTTGGCTTAAGACCACACCTGCATCCAATTTTTGTCACCACATTAAAAAAAAGATGTTGAGACTTTGGGAAAAGCACAAAGAAGAGCAACTAAGACTATTATAGGCCTGGAGGCTAAAACATATGAATGGTTGCAGGATTTGACCAGTCTAGAAAAAAAGAAGGACTAGGGATGATGCGATAGCAGTTTTCCAGCATTTGAGAGGCTGCCACAAAGAAGGGGCCAACCTATTCGCCAAAGCACCAGAGCACAGGACAAGAAACAATGGATGGAAACTAACCAAGGAGAGAAGCATGGAATTGAGATGAAACTTCCTAACAGTGAGGACAATTAACCAGCTTGGCCTTCAGAGGTTGTGGGTGCTTCATCACTGGAGGTTTTTAAGGAGACTGGGAAGTCTCTTATCTGAAATGATATAGGATCTCCTGCTTGAACAGGGGGATGGACCAGAAGACCTCCAAAGTCCCTTCCAGCTCTATTCTGATTTTTTACAACCCTTGCAACGTCCCTATGGTCACATGATCAAATTTTGAATGGTTCCCAACTGGCACATAATTATGACAGCTGCAGATCATTTGATCACCACTTGTGGCTTTCCCAGCAGGCTTCCCCAAAGCCAACTCAGTAATTTTCTTCTTCTCTGTGGTCCTGGATAAGCTAGGCCTAACTTTACACCTTTTCTCAATTGCTGCCGCAACCATGTGAAGAGGTTTGGTTGAAAAAGGAAAGGTGTGCCACGGGGATCCATCACGGCATTAAGAAGCCAAAGATTCCACTGGCCACGAAATCTGAGTCAGCAATTCCTGGAAAGAATCACAGTTAGAATCACACTCAAGGTAATGACAGCTTTAAGACTTGTGGACTTCAACTCCCAGAATTCCTCCTCCAGTCATGTTAGCTCAGGAATTCTGGGAGTTGAAGTCCACAAGTCTTAAACTTGCCAAGTTTGGGGACCCTTGGCCTAAGCTGCTAAAACTATGGTGAGTTCTAGTCCTACTTTAGGCGTGAAAGCCACCTGGGTAACTTTGGGCCAGTCTCTCTCAGTCCAACTTGCGTCAGAGTTGTGAGGAAAATAGGTGTGGAAGAATGTTCACCACCTTGACTTACAGGTAGTCCTCGACTTATGACAATTGAGCCCCAAATTTCTCTTGCTAAGCGAGATATTTGTGAAGTGAATTTGGGCCATTTTACGAATATTCTGGCCATGGTTATTAAGTGAATCGCTGAATTAAGTTAGTAACATGGTTGTTAAGCAAACTCAGTTGACTTTGCTTGTCAGAAGGTCGCAAAAGGTCATGATCCCAGGGACACTGCAACTGCTCTAACTATGAACTAGTTGCCAGGTGTTCAAATTTTGATCAGGTGACCATGGAGATGCTGCAAGGGTCATCAGTGTAAAAAATGGTCACTTTTTCCAGCGCCATTGCCACTTCAAATGGTCAATAAACAAATGTTTATTGATTGAGGACTACTTGTATTTATAAAAATACAGGTGGAAAGAAATCAAATAAAAAAATAAGTACTGTATTTATTTTCTGGATTTATACTCCTCTGGTATTTAAAACCAATCTCTTCCACTGATCTCAGTCTGTCCTGAAACTTTAGAGCAAGGGTCTTCAAACTTGGTGAGTTTAAGACTTGTGGACTTCAACTCACAGAATTCCTGAGCTAACATGACTGGAGGAGGAATTCTGGGAGTTGAAGTCCACAAGTCTTAAAGCTGTCAAATTTGAAGACCCCTGCTTTAGATTATGACCTGAATTTAAAGACTTAACACTGAACTAACCCCAACGTTTCCAAACAGAAAGCTACTCCTCCTCTTTTTGGCTGGAAAATTATCTTGCACAAAAGCCACTTTGTGATTTCTTCAGCTTCCTCCTGCAATGTGAAACCAAGTACTGTGGCCTGTAATCATTTTCTCCTCTTCAAACAACTTAAATTCTTTTTACTTCATCCTCACACTATTCCTGGCTGCAACTGAATTCCCACAAGTGACACAATCTGTATCTCAGGTTGCATCTTGCAGTGGATCTAGCTTTGTGCCAAAAGTTAACCTCTTGTGCAAATATGAACTCCCACTGCCTTGACCGCCCCACCCCCAACCTGTATCTACGCTCAAGGACAGAGAAATTGTGAACCACCAGTTAAGGCTGAACCAGTTTTACAAGTGGGTGAGAACTCAACCTCTTTCCACCAGCACTAAGTGAAATCTTACCTTTGGCTTTAAATCAAAGTATGTTGATTGCTTAATCTCTATATAAATGCCATCTGCATTTTGCAATCACACCAGATTTACTGTCATGTAATTAAATTTGAGTTGCACTCTGAACCAAAAACCAAGTTGTGCATTCCTCCAATGAGATGAATTTTAGGATGCAAACCCTTAGGGCTTTCTGCACAGCCCTTCTGTTCCCCAAATGGAAGAGAGGCGGCAAATCAAGGGATTCAGGGTGTGAAATAGAGTCCTGGAGTCTTCAGTGCTCTCTCAGCTTGGCTGCTTGCATGCAGATGCTTCATTCTCCTACTAGATAACCCTCGACTTACGGTTCATTTAGTGACCGTTCAAAGTTACAATGGCACCGAAATATGTGACTTACGGCCGTTTTTCAGTTATGACCTTTGCAGCCTCCCCACGATCCTGTGATTGAAATCCAGATGCTTGGCAACTGGTTCATATATATGACGGTTTGCCATGTCCCAAGGTGACGTGATTCCCTTTTTACGACCTTCCGACAAGCAAAATCAAAGGGGAAGCCAGATTTACTTAACTGGGTTGCTCACTTATCAACTGTGCTGATTCGCTTGACAATGGTGGCAAGAACGGTCGTGAAACGGGGCAAAAAAAACCTCCCTTAACCAATGTCTCACTTAGCAACAGAAAAGTTGGGCTCCGTTGTGGTCGTAAGCCAAGGATTACTACTTGTAGAGCACACCATCAGGGTGAGGGCTTGCTCCCCAACACCCAGGATTGCGACCTAATCGGAGAATTTAAACGTCTGCGAGCAAAGTCCCTGGAGATTCTCAGCCAACCAGGTCAGAGTTGCGTCAAGGCCGCTCGCAGGCCTTCCCAGTTCAGCCCTGGCCTACCGACACCCCTCGGCCTCCCGACCACACCAGAGCTGCTGCTTTCGGATTTGCAAAGAGCCCCGCAGATCGGCGCGCGTCGCTAAGCGTGCAAGCGAGCGGGTTCCCCCCGCAGTCCCAGATGGGAGGCGTTGGGGAGAAAGATTTCCACTCCCCGCTGATCTCTTAAAGGAAACACCGCCCAACTTTCACTCAACTCACTTTCCCTCTCGCACGCACACACACACACGCCACCCTCCCGTGTAGGAATTCGCACCAAGTGCGTTAAACAATCGGGGCGCAACTTTTGCAAAATGCTTCTTGGCCTTCGGGGCGCAGCGGGCGGAAGGAACCGCGCGCCTTGCAAAAAAAAAACAAAAAAAACGGGCCTATTTTCCACGCGCGCGCCCTGCAGCCACCCAACCCAGGGATCCACTCGAGTCCGCGCCCAAAGAGAAAGACCCTGCTTACCGACCCAAGCTGGGCTGCTTGCTTCTGCTCCTTGCACCTCTCCTCGCTCGCTTCTGCCGACCCGTCGGTTGCTGGGAAGACGTCCCGCCCGCCCAAACCGCACTTTTTGCTCAGCCCGGGCAGCGGGAAAAGGCTCGCTCCTCCCTCTCGGCTTGTGTGTTGCAACGTGCAAAGTGCAAATCGTTGCTTGCGCTTTCTCAGCCGCTGTCAAGGCAGGGCGGTTTGCAACACGCGTGTTACCCCTAGGGCTTTTGCGTCTTCCACGCCCGCCCACAAGGCCCTGCAGCTTAACCCGCTTCCTTAATCAGAAATAGAGCTGGACGGGACCTTGGGAGGTGTTCTAGTCTGACCCCCTCTGGCTCAAGCAGGAGACCCTATACAATTTGAGACAAGTGACTGCCCAGTCTCTTCTTTAAAAAAACCTTCCAGTGATGAAGCACCCACAACTTCTGAAGGCTCCGTCCTGGGGAAGCTTTTGGGTCGTGGCTCGGTTTATTATCATTTATGCTGGCTTAAAATATTGTTGTGCAGAGAGCCGCTGTAAGCCTAACAGGAGTGTCTACGGAGATTCTCAGTCCTCCAGGCCATGGTTGTCCCAGAGGTGCTTTTTCAAGAGGCAACTGCACTTTCCTATTTTTCTTTGAAGACGTTTCTCTTCCCAACTCTGAAGAAGCTTCTTGGATGTCTGTAGAGATTCACCCTTTGAATAGTGTGGGAGTAGGAATGGATTTCCAGAGGGGGGGAAATTGCAGATTACAGGAACCAGGAGCACCACTCAGGTGACCCTGAGGACACAGGTAAACCTCCAAATGGCCTCAATGACCATCAAAAAAGGATGCAAATGACCAGCTGTCTACAAAATTCTCCCATTCCCCACTATCCTGTCAGAGCTGAAGAAGCTTCTTGGATGAGAAACGAAACGTCCTCAAAAGAAAAAAACCAGGAAAGTCCAGTTGTCTCCAGAAAAAGCACCTTTGGGACCTAACGGAGTGTGAGAGCTCTGATTGAGCTTGAAGTCAAGTGAGGTACTAATACCGCTCTATAAAGCCTTAGTAAGACCACACCTAGAGTACTGCATCCAGTTTTGTTCACAGCATTATAAAAAAGATGTTGAGGCTCTAGAAAAAGTACAGAGGAGCAACCAGGATGATTAGGAGACTGGAGACTAAAACACGTGAAGAACGGTTACAGGAACTGGCATGGCTAGTCTAGTGAAGAGATGAACCAGGGGAGACATGATAGCAGTCTTCCAATATTTGAGGGGCTGCCACAGGGAGGAGGGAGTCAATCTGTTTTGTAAAACACTTATAGGCCAGACAAGGAATAATGGATGGAAACTGAACAAGGAGAGATTTAACGTGGAAATAAGGAGAAACTTTCTGACACAACAAACAACCGATGGAACAGAAGTTGCCCTTGGAAGTCGTGGAAGCGCCATTACTTGAGACTTTCAAGAAGAGATTGGACTGACATTTGTCAGAAATGGTGTAGGGTCTCCCGCTTGGGCTGGACTAGATGACCTATAAGGCCCCTTCCAACTCTGATTATATGTTATCTGGTTATCTGGCAAACTTGCTGGTTGCAAAAGAGTCTTTTTCAACGTTGCAACAGCCATCTGGTACGGTTGTTTATGTTCTTGTGGAGATTCTCAATCATCCTGGTCGTAATTGTCCCAAAGGTGCTTTTATTTTCTTTCCCAAAAGACACCTGGACTTTCTTCTTGTTTTCATTTCAGAAATGTTTTCAAAGAAAAAAAATGCCATGAAAAATCCAGTCGTCTCTTTAAAAAAAGCACCTTGGAGTTGTTTATGCAAGTTAGTGCGTAAGTGCATTAGCCTGCCTATGGTTCCTGTAGCATTTTAGTTTCATTAGTTAGAATTTGAAATTGTTTGACAAATAATCAATGATATGTGTCTACCCCAGGTGAGTAGTTCATTAGAAAACATTGGAACTATAATGATAATTCCCACACACACTTTTTTTTAAAGACCCTGTTTGTTGGGGGAAGAGCTGAGTTGTCAGAGGAGGGAGATCCATGTGGTGTAATAGGCCAGATTGATTTCAACAAGGGGCAAAGATTGGTTTGCTTACATATTACTTATCTGACAAGTTGTGTAATAATATTCTTGCTTCACCCACTTTTAAAATTCTTTGATCTCCTCTTGGCTCAGTTTCTTAGGGCAGGCCGTGACATGCAGTGCTTTGAGAAGATATAAAGCATTGTAGTAATCTAACTTTCAAATAATAAAATTAATAAAATGTTACGTTCTTCTTTTACTCCCTTTTCAGTATTTCTACTTGAACCACGTTGATGGGTAAAGGTTTATAGGAAGGAAAAATGTCAAGGAAAACTTCTTAAATCAGCTGCTCAAAAGAGTCCGATTGCAGTGGTGCTTATAATTAAATATAAAAGCAAATTTAGGGATTGCTTATCTGGGAGGCTGTGTAGTAATCTGGCTAGATCACGGATGGATCACTTCTATCCCCATTGCTTGATCTTTGGGGATCCCTTGGCTTCATAACTTCAGGAAAAGATCCATTTGGTTTTAAGATGTTCCTGGCAGGTGTAACAACTACTCCCACCCGTGCTTCAAATCACATTTTGCGCTTTGGATCTGTGCTTAACTCTATTCACTGTGTGGTTACAAGGGAAATGCATAAATTCTTGCTAACTTTTTCTTCCCTTACTTGTATGTTTACTTACAAAGGCTTCAATTGTAGTATCTGTGTACCAGTGTATTAGTCATTCATTTAGTGACCAACCATGTTACTAGTTTAATAAGTGCAGTGATTCGCTTAACAACAAGAAAAGGGGCAAAGTTCCCTTAACAAATGTTTTGCTTAACAACAGAAATTTTGGGCCCCATGTGGTCATAAATTGAAGATTACCTGTAGTCAGAACTTTTTATGCCATAAATTCAAGGCACAAGGCAATTCAAGGAATAGTTACGGGTAGTCCTCAAATTACGACCATCATCGCCATGATTTTTGTTGCTAAGCTAGGCGGATCGTTTCGTCATGCCTGATTTTACGGCCTTTTTTTTTTTTTTTTGGGTCAGTTTTTGCGAATCCCTGCTGTTGTTTAAGTAAATCGCACGGTTGTTAAGCCAGCCCAGCTTATCCCATTGACTTTGCTTGTCAGAAGCTGTGCTGGAAAAGTTGCAAATGGCGATCATGTGACCTTGGGATGCTACGATGATCATAAATGCCAGTTGTCATTTTGATCACATGGTCACGGGGGATGCTGCGATGGCTTTAATTGCAAGGGCGGGTCGTAAATAACATTTTTCAGTGCCTCAATTTCGAATCGTTCCTAAATGAATGGTTGTAAGTCAAGGACCATTTATATTCTCAGGAACTTTGAAGGCTGAACAAGAATAAAAAGGCTTCTTAGTTTATATCTATATCTATATCTATATATCTATATCTATATCTATCTATCTATCCTGTTTCTCCAACAATACGGCCTCCCCCAAGAGGAAGTCCCAGCATGTTTTATAGGCATGAAATGAAATTAAGCCCCTCCCCCCAAATTAAGGCCTATATTAAAACATGCAAAATGGGGGGGAATGGTGGGGGGGGCTTGCCATTAGGAAGTACTTTTGTTGCACACTTGGATATGGTGCTGCCTGCGTTGACCCCGATACGAAGTGCCCCACCAATGCCGAGGTCAACATCCAAGCCATCGCTGCCCGCCCACCCAAAGATACAAAGGGGGGGAATTAAGTCACCCCCGAAAAGACGGCCTAGCCATTTTTTCAGGGTTCAAAAAAAAAAAAAAGACCTGGCCTTATTATATGAGAAACACGGTATATATATATACACAAAAGCTAATCTAGGAGGTCAACCTTATAATATATATGTCTCTCTCTCTCTCTATGTATGTATGTATGTATGTATATGTTATAAGGTTGATCTCCTAGATTAGTTTTCTCATCTTTGGCAACTTGAAAATGGGTGGACTTCAACTCCCAGAATTCCCCAGCCTAGTTTGTGTGCTTGTCCTTCAACACCCTACTTGGACATTTCCCCAAATTAAAATAATGTGAAATGTACCAAAAGACACCAGGGCATCACGGATGGCTCCAGAGAAGAGCACGGGAGGCCTGTAGAGTGAAACTGACTTAACAGCTAGACAAACAAGTATTCTATTGGGGAAGGTGTGTGTGAAACTGACCAGTAAAAGGAAACTGGCAAATAAGGAACAAAAGCCACTTCAACTTCCTGCAGCATTATTTGGGAGACACTACAACGAGGTTAGGCAGGGCTACTGCATCTGTTGTGGCCCGCCAGTGGCCAGCAGAGCTGGCGGCAGATTCAGATGGTGAGAAGGTTGGGGAGGTACGTGGGCCAGTCCTGGAGTCTGGGGAAGGCTCTGACCAGTGCTCCGTGTCGGAGGCAGAGATGGGGCCAGGGCCGTCTTGACAGTTATCAGCTGCCTTCGAAGTCAGACCTCAGTGAGGCAGAAGAACAGCTGGAGCCTGTTCCCAGTGTGCACATGTGCAGAGCTGCCAGGAGAAGGGAACAGCTAAGGAACAAGGGTCGACTTGGGAGTAAAGCCACAAGTGGAAAGTGAATGGCCCCTCCCATAGGGAATAAAGAGGAGCACAAGGGGAGTGGGGTTTGCAGGAGACAATTAGTTCAATTCATTAGGATGAAGATCTGTTCCTGATTTCTTGCCAAATATTACCTGCTACAGAGTGACTTTGGAAGATATCTGCCTGGCAGCTCCCCAAGCCTGATAAAAGTCTGTAGTTGTGAAATCTCTTTAAACACTGTTGGTCGGAACTTTGCTGGAGAGGAATTCACTTTAAACTAAATAAAAGAGGTTTTATCAGGACGAGGAGTCGACTGTATGCCTTTGGGAAGCCTAGGTCAGAACAGCATCTACAGGTAAAGCTATCTTTAGACTAGTGTTAAATAGTGAAAAGGACCAGCTATTCTTAGTTGTTGGCTTTCTCCAGGACATCTCTGCTCACACCTAAAAAGGATAAATTGATCTTTCCTGCAAATTCGTGACTTCCAAAAAAGAAAACAGAAGCTGGTGTGGCTTTGCAACGGGAGAAAAAAATTGCATCTATTAGCTTTCATCTCTTTGATTTTAGAAACTCTCATTTAATTTATAAATTCAATTTAAATAGAAATTCAGTGCGGCTTATAGTGGATGAAACTTCTGGGAGTTTAAAGGCACCAGATTGGAAAGATTTGTTATATTCCAATAGCCCCATGTGAGTTACACGCCTAGCCACAATTCCCTGGATTTAAGCCATGTTCCACCCT